AGTTAAAAGATGAAGAGAAGGCTTTAATTTTACTATCATTTTTGCTCAAGTTTTATAGGCTTTTAGTTCAGATTGTGTTGGTAGGTAGGTCTACTTTGAAGTTGAATGATATGACTGCCTTGTTGTGTGAGAATAAAAGGTTTATGGGAGCTCAGAACTCATCACCTAGGGGGAGTACACTAGCTGTAGAGGGTTTTGATCGATGAAGGACTCAAAAGAGGATTGATGGATCAAGAGGGAGATCTAAGTCAAGAGATAGAGATTACAGTGATATAGAATATTATTATTGTGGTAAAAAAAGACATATTCAAGTGCGCTGCAGGAAGTTGAAAAGGGATATAGCTGTTTTCAAATGGGCGAATGATGAGAAAAAATCATATGAAGAAAATAGTGATACTGCTGCTGTCGTGTCTGATGATGATGATGTTGTTTTGACAACTTGTGTGGATGAGACTCAGACTTTGAAATGTGATAAAGGTTGGGTTTTATATTCAGCTGCTACAGTTCATGTTTGCAATGATAAGAGTTGGTTTGTGAAGTTGGATGAAAATGAGAAGTATGGAGATATTGTGGTTGCTAACAAAAAAAGGTACAGATTCAAAGCATTGAAAGTGTTCACCTTAGATCTCACAATGGTGTTGTTAGGATGCTTCGTCATGTAAGGTATGTATCAAGTTGTCATTACAATTTGATTGTTTTGAGTGAGTTAGCTTCTGGAGATACACATATTATGGTAGTAATGATTGGTTGAAAGTGTACAAGAATGGTAATGTGATTTTACAAGAGAATAGAGTCAAAAATCACTTGTACATGCTTGATGAATGCTCAATTACTGGGATCCTTATGATGAAAGAAAAAAAGAAAGGTAACCGTGTTAGCTTTGCAAATACTATTGAGGTATTTGAAGATTTAAGTCAAGGAAGATTTATTGAGATTTGCCTTGAATCTCATAATCCCACATCGAAAGTTAGTGAGTTTTGAATTTGTTCAGTATCCCATATCGGGAGTTTAGTAAAAGTATAAAGGGATTTCACCCTTATAAATAAGTTGTTTTGATTTTAGTTTGATAATCCCTGAAAGTTAGACACCAAGAGAATAGCTAAGTGAGTAGGTTATTAAAAGGGTGTAATTGAGTTTTGGGTTAAGTTTTGAGTAAGAAGTTTTATGAGACTTTTTTCATTCTAAAAGTCTCAAATTATAAAGATTTATTTGATAATAGATTAGGTTTGGAGTAGGTTATTTTGAGTTGAGCCGAACTAAATATATTTGTGTGTTCTTATTCTTGATTTGAGCTTGCTGTTTTGTGTATGATTGCTGTGTGGGTTATTTTTTTTAATAATATATCACTACAGCAAAATAGCGTATTAGCAGCAGTTTTGTAGCAGCCTTTCATTTACAAACGTTACTAGCTTTCGTGTTTTTATAAAACTTCAGGCATTTATTATACAAATATCACTAAATATTCAAATAGTGGTGTTGTTACTTATAAACGTCACTCAAGACTTGATATTAGAGGCGTTTCTTGACTAAAATGCCTTGAATACTTTTTATTAAAAGTTTTGATGAATAGTTAAAGCATATTTTTGACAGACAACACCTTCAATAATCACGTCATAAAAATTTGTATTAGATTAATGAATACGTTGTCTACAAGAAATGCCTTTGATATTTAGACTAAAAATTTTCCCGGGCTTATTAATTTTTTTTTATTTTTTGTAAAAATTATTTCAATATTAAGGTTATCAAATTGTTTGGATCGTATGGATGTTTACCATAAGATTGTTGGTTTGATCTGTCCTTTAGTCTTTTTTTGGGTTTAGGCATAGATTATTTGTTATTGATTATTCTAGGCATTTTCTTGACAAAAACGTTTTCATCAATTGGTTTAAAAAATTTTTCATAGAATATTGATGACGTTTTTCGTGGAGAGATGCCTTTAATAATTGATAGCAAAAATATGGACTCGATTCTTGAAGGTTTTTTTACATTAATGTCGAAACACAAGAAATTATGATAATTTGTATCATCTATTTTAACATAAAGTAAAAATTAACTCTTTTTAACATATAATCAATTAATTATTAAACTTGATAGTTGTATATGACAAATTCACAGGAGAAAATGAAAGAAAAAATAGCTACTGAAATTGAAATAGCATATGAAGGTTCTCTCAACATATAAGAAATGAAAAATCTGATAGTCATAGAAGTTGCTGGAAAAGAAAGACATGGACGGGTCCGAGGCCTTGGATTGGGTCCAACACCATCTGCCTACTATAGACATAACTCTTCGTAATTTACATTCTTAACAAGTTAGTCTTCGCGAGACATTTCAATATTGAGAGGGGAGTTGCAAACTATGCAACAATGTTTTAAGCAAATGGAAGAAAAAAGAGAAGATGAGCATGCCAAAATTGAAGAAGAACATGTTAGAATTGAGGTAGAGCATGCAAAATTTCAGCAATTGCATGATCGATTCGATCATCTTATGAATTTTGTGCAACAATAATTTTTAGAAAATGATTTTGGTGTTTTATCAACTTAGGTATTATATTTAGTAAATATTAAAATTTTTAAATAAAAAAAAAGCATACAATGAAGTGTTAAAAATTATATGGTATTATTCAGTAGGTTGTTGAATACGCTAGTGACCAAGGTAAAAAATTTTCTTCATCAATTGGCAGCCAGCAAAATGTATATAGTTATTTATTTCATACATTTTAATTTTTTATTTGGTTAATGTATTTATCATATTTGAATGTTATTATATTAATTATTAAATTTTATATTAATTAGATGTATATTTAAACATGAATGAAGTTAATATTAATTTCAGTTTTTGAATTTTAGCTCTTTACTGAAAATAAAATTTATTATAAGAAATTTTAAAAAATATATTTTTACATAATGACGTCGTTTGCGTTGGGCAATGTCGCTAAATGAATAATTTAGTGACGTTTGTAGCATAAAACATCACTATAAGTAGTGGTGCTATTTTCAGCAAATACCGCTAGTTATGTGACATTTTTTTATAGAAACGTCACTAAAGCAACAACGTTTTTCTCATAACAAAGCAACTAAATTAGCGGCGTCCAAAAGATACAAGTGTCACAAATATTGAGGCGTTTTCAAATTCAAACGCCTCTAAAGTAACGACGTTTTCTGTTACAAACACCGTCAATGCAACGACGTTTTTTTTTTTGTAAAAACACAACTAAAATAACGGCGACTAAAAGATACAAACGTCGTTAATATTAAGCCGTTTTCAAATTCAAACGTCTTTAAAATAGCAGTGTCTCAAAAATAAAAATATCGCTAAAATGACGGTACTTCTGATATAAACGCTTCTAATATTGAGGTATTTTTTTGAAAACGTCGTTATTTATTATGACGCGTGTATAGGCGATACTCTATGTGACATTTTTTCACAAAACATTGTAGCTTTATAGTGACGTTAATAAATGCCGTTAAACGATAAAAAAAACGTCGCTAAAAATCAAAACCCTTGTAATGTATGGATATTAATTTGATTTCACAATCACTTATGGTAGCATATATATATATATATAAATATATATAACTGATTTCTTTATGGGTAAGTATTTTTTTTATGAAGCTATAAATCAAAATATTTATTTTATATATATAAAAGAAGATATAACTTTAAAAATAATTATATAAAATAACTACGTTAAACTCATAATTTGTTTTTTTTTTTTTTTTTACATAGGAGAACAAGGCTTAAGAAACACTGAGAAGAAAAATTTATAAAAACAAAAGATGGAACTCACATCTTACTAAGGATCAAAGGCTATAAACTATTTGGATTAAACCCAAATTTATTTTCAATAATTACTAGTTACTGATTAATTTTCAAGACTTCAGCCTTATCGAATGTAAGCTTTTTTATTGGTCAGTGTGATCCCACAAACTATAATTATCCCTACTTTTGACCAAGAGAAAACCTCCGCTGATCGTTGCTCTTATAACCCCTCATTGAGTTAAATCACCAAAAATTCATCACGTAATAAATATTGAGACAAATTTGAAGTCATACCATCTATGAAAGAAGGTGGTCGGTTTAGGTTCATAGGCTAATAAAAGCTGAAACCAGGTTAGCTGTGGTCAAGGATCTATATGGGCATGCTGCAAAATTCACATGGCTGTTGTGGAAATCATCCTAGGCTTGTTATTCTTTTTATTTTTAAGCCATCTCATTTTTTTTTTTTTTTGGATCGAGGACTATTAACAATTAATCTCTAATTAGCATCACATGCCTGTCATGGAAGATGCCTCTAGGCTGATGACTAATTGATTTTATAAGGCCAATCTGCAATTTATTTTCACATATATATATATATATTAATTGGTATATAAATTTACATATATATCTATTTGTACAATGGAATTCCACTTCTCCAAGTTTGAGTATCTTAGTGAAATTCTGCCCGGTTTGTACGGATTGATTTAACCACTTGGAAGTGGCCAAGCTAGGAGTCCACTCTATCATTGAGCCTAACACTCAATGATAATGTACTTTGGATTTGGAGCAAAACCCAAAAGCATGCTCAAAGTACATTGCTGGAATTGGTACTTGAACTGCTTGAGTTGGTCTTAGCCCAGACCCAAAAACAAAACTGGTTCTGATGCAGTGCTGGCAAGTTTCACTTCGTGATGCTTAAAACTTGAAAAAATCAAAAATAAAAAAATAAAATAAATTTATGTAAATTTTTTTTTGTAATAAAATATTTAATAAATTTGAAATTTAAATTTAAATTGTCTTTCACCTCTTCACTTAATAGTTAAGAGACTTTGAGGAAGGCATGTAAGTGTAAGGATTTTGTCTTTTTATGAAAAAAAAAATTTAAATTTAAACTCTTACAATTATTTCTCTTATTCTTCACATCTCGTGTAAAAAAAATAAAAGGCTTTAATTTATCACATCAACTTAGCATTTTTAGATATGGTTGAACTTGTGAAATTGAAAATGAAAATTGTCGTTAATCATAAATAAAATGATGAATTTGTTTTTTTCATGATTGAGAAAGATTATCTCAAAATGAAAATCAAGTTTGGCAGATATAAGTAGAAGCAGGCAGTCCATTTTGAACAAAATTAGTATAGTGATTATTAGACAAAAGAAGGGCATACGAGACATATTACACAAAAATAACAAAGCCTTTAGATTTTAAGGAAAAGAACAAAAAAAAAAAAAGCAAAATTCACAAAGTGAGATAGAACAGTTAGATGGCACTTCTACAATCGAAGATTTAAGTCAAGCTTTTGCAGATCAGGTTCTTGCTGTGGCAATTTATCAAGGCGGAAGCTTCCTGGCCAGATCAAATCCGTTGATTCTTCAAGCATAAAGGGTGTCCAAGCCATCCCAAACCCTGGACTGGAACCACTTCCAAATGTTGCTACCATTGCAGACCCTTCTCTGACAGGCTTGTGAACAAGAGAATGAGGCTGGACCCCTAGTGATCGAACCGCAATAGAATTGAAGGGAAACCTCATTGTTGTGATCATCATTTTGTGAGACTGGAACCTTTTAGCAGCTCCTCTTTCCCTCTTGTGTGCATTCTGGTGACCACCCAAGGCCTGAGAACTATAAAACTTTCTCATGCAAAAGTTGCATGAGAAAACCTTGTTGCTGGCAGGCTTTGATTGAGAATCACATTCTCCAGCTGTTGCAGGCTCATTTCTGTTGAGCCCTAAACTCAACAAATCCCCCAAGTTATCATCTCCAGCTCCTGTTTCGTTGTTGTCACCTCCGGTTTTCAATTCAGCATCTTGGTTGTTGAGTGATGTCTCATTTATTTCTTCATCCGTCCGGAAAGTCATAACACAAAGATATATTCACAACTCAGATAGGTTTGAATATAGTAAGTTTTTGATATAGTGGGGCTTCAAGATATTGTAGAGCTGTGTGGTTAAATAGGAGGAATAGATAAAGGAGGAATTTAATGGAAATTTAGAGAGGTCTCAGGTGGGGAGGGAAGTGGCAGTAGATATTATTAAATTTAGATCCCTTTTATCTGGGGGTTTCCAATCTGATGACCTTTCAACATTTCATGTGGGCAATGCATACATCAACTATTAGTGTTGGCCATATCAAGCTTAGGATTCCATGCTAATCTTTATCACCTTTTTTAACACCTATTGCATCAATTACATGATTCTCCTTGTTGGATGAATCAATAACAGGAACTCAACCTTTGTATGTATTGTATGAAGTACTCTGAATGACTGAAAATGTTTGCATTTGTATGTAGTCGGATTGTGTAACATAAAGACAGCACTAGTTTAACCCACAATTAAGCCGTTTGAATAAGTCGACTCCTTGAAAATACTTTTAGAAAGTGATAATTAAAAGAAAACACTTCCATTTAAGACAGAAAATTAGGGTAAAGGGTTATGGCTCCTTTACCATGTTTCTAAATATGTATTAAACTTAATTCTACTTAATATCAATTGGTAAAAAGTAGCTTGTCCAACTTCAATTCAAAGTCCAAATTGTATCCAAGTAACCGACTTTCATCTGACTAACATGGTCCCAAGCATCACATGCTCTATATCCTGTTTACTCCATGCCATAATTTTCAATCTCTTTTGCAGAACATGGCAAATTATGGATCACCTCATGCATGTACAACGCAGATGCAATTTTTTATTGGTTTTGGCGAAGGTTAGGTCTGCTTAGTTACGTCTGGTAGAAATTTTGTTAAGATGGTTGAAAACATTAGGCGAAGGATCCTATTTTACATCAAGGTTCAAAAACAACACGTGTTTTTTGGGTATTTATTGATTCAGAAAACTTAACATTTTGGCAGTAAAAAGAGGTGGGCATGGCATTCAATGATTGCTATCCGCATCATGACTCTGAACTCACTATATTTTGTTGGTTCTAAATAGCCAAGGGTCGAAATGGCGACCGGCAAATAGAAACCAAATCGCAAATTTCTGAAAGAAACTTGAATTTAAAAATAACTAGATTAAGATATGTGGATACAAAGTTGACAGTCAAATGTCATCTGTAAAAATAAATGGTCTGATGCTAAATCAGGTTAGTGATGTTAAGTTTGCTAAAACTATGGAAGCAGAGAAGCCATTAGGCAATCCTTTAGTTATGATAACGTAGAGAATTATTAAGGGGGTTTGGAGGGCCCAACTGCCCAAGGGAACTGACAATAATGGTGATAAAAAAGCAGGACAGTGGAGTTGGGGGTGTCTGATTTTAAATTGGTTTATTTCTGTAAGCAAGAGGATCAATGTGGGTGTCTTGATGTAGTGGGCAGTGTGTATGTACAGTAGGATAAGTGCATTGGGAACCACTTGTGCTTATTCTCAGAATCTTTCTGTTCCAAAGAAACATCAGATTAAAAAAGCTCAGCTTCCCCACATTGGGGTGTAATTGAAAGCAGCTTTGATGCTGAAGCTTCTATGAGATAAAATAATTGTGGTGTTGGAATGCTGACTCAGAATTTTGAGCATTAGACTTGTCTTATCAATTAGTTTCATATATACAGTTCAAATTAGTTGAAATAAACAACAAATAATTCTATAGAATAGAAGCAATTCTCTCTACTTCAGATATGTTGAACAGATCAGCCATTTTTCAAATAGAGATATTAAATCACGGATGCCCCAGTTTCAAAAGTCATATCTCATACCAGACCAACTCTAAAAAGTAAACTTTTCTTTCAAGTGTTCCTACTGATTGGAAAACTACAAGTTTGTTCATATCCGCATAACACTTTCATTGTGTACCAAAAATGAAAACCAAGGAATATTGTAGTCATCGTATATTACTTTCAAGAACCTATTCACGAGTCTCTAAATTTTTATATATTTCATAAAGAAAAGGGGAAAATGGTTCACTTTATCATCTTGTGAAGGGCATTTTTTGGAGGGAATGGAATTAGAGAGGTGGAGATTCTGCTGGAGTGGTAACTGAAGAAGGTTGAAATTTACTGAGACTGATATATAAGTAAGTAGAAGTAGTTCTCTAAGTATGGACCAAAGGAAGGATATGGTGATGAAGCAGGATTTGCTGATGAATGTATATCTCTGTCTTATCTTGGTATCAAGTTTTAAAGCATTTGATGACAAGGATAGAAGCAAAGCAATTATTAAGGATGCCATGGAAGTGCTGATCCGAACGGGATGTAGAAGAGAGATGCTTCCACACATCAAAGAAATAAATAAAGCAGAAAGGTCAAGAGAAAACAGGAGCTAAATGCCTCCCAACCAGGCACATTGAATATAGCACCAGAGTGGGTGCCTCTCAAATTGGCATTTAAAATGACATAATGGTGATGTTGAGATATCAAATCAATAATGAAAGTGATTGCATTTTGGGCTTGAAAAATTGAAGAAAACACTTGTATTTGAGAATGACTTGCCTAGATTTTATATTTCTTTAAGTCTTATTTGGTTTTAACATATCAAATTCCCAGTCATCTGTTAATCATATGTAATTGTTTTAATAAATAATGACATTTTTGCTCGAGGTTTTGTTTTCATTTTTGACTAATGAAAAAGTTTTGGGTACCGACCTTTCAAAGGGTAAAGGAATTACTTCAGATCAATGCCGCAGCTTATTGAAGTAAATAAAGTCTCTCTTATCACACAACACCACCAATTAACCAAAGAACTAATTCGCTTGACGAAGTTGCAGATTGAGGATTCTTTTCTATTACAGATCAATGATTTCAGCGGAAAACAATTCTGTACATCATTGGTTACGTCCGGAAGCAGGCTCCTAGTTCACAATTACAACTACCAATAAATACAAAATTTCGTTACTAATGGCCTAATCCAAGAAAATGTAAAATCTACCCTAGTTACAGTTTTCCCTTCTTCATTCAAAAGTAGCTTCAATTCATGAAATAGAGAGACTTTTCCAGGTTGTTACATTCTGAAGTCTAGGACGCATAGCGTATTGTTTGCAAAACAAGCAGCAATCTTGTCACCTTCCTTGTTCCAACAGACTTCAAATATACCCCCTTTGCCGGTATATGTCTTTACAATTTTCCCTTCCTTCAAGGACCAGATATGCATGGATTTATCGAGAGACCCACTGGCAAGATATTCTCCATTTGGGCTAAATGCAACAGAGTATACAGGGTCCCTGGCGGTTTAATCAAAAGAAACTTGTAAAAAACAAAAGGGCAATGCAATGGCTCATTTCACCATCAACAAGGCTTTTAGTGATCTTATAATATATGATTAAAAAAGTAATAGAGAAGAATGGATTCGAGGGATGGTACCCGTGTCCATTCAAGCTATAGAGAAGTTTCCCTAGTTCCACATCCCACAGCTTCACCGTGGAGTCAAATGATGCACTACATAGAAAAGAGATAAACAGAATGCTAAGCGAAACTTAAATGGAGATTTAAAGCAGCTCTTGTATGGCAGTTTACACTGTAAATGAATTCCATTGAATTAAAGGAGTTCCTTGGAACTAAAAAGGGATTCACGTTCACACCAAAAAAAGAAGGGAGTGAACATAGAATGTATTAGATGCACGTTATCCTTCTCTTTTATTTCTCCCTTCTTCCCTTCAGGTTAAGTTAGTTTGTAGAAACAAAGCCTTTGTGGCACACACAAACTGTTCGAGATATCAATTAAAATTTTAAAAAATTATTATCCACAGATATGTAGAGAGAGAGAGAGAGAGAGAGAGAGAGAGAGAGGGACTACAGAAGAAGTATAATGGAGACAAAACATTAGAGAAAGAGACAAATGGATAATTACATCTTTATCCATTACCTCAATCAAATCAAGTTTGAAAAGATTATATGCAAGGATAGTATGTGGCTATTTGAGAATACTGAGTCAAGTTGATCCATCAACTGGCTTCAAATGTTAGACCTAATAATAAACATATGAATGACGTGTACACAAATAGTGATCCAACAAACATAAATTAAAACAATTTCTATTACACCTCATTTTTACCTTGCAAGAATTAATGGCTGGTTAGGATTGTTTGTCCCAGGCCCAGTAGGACTCCATCTGATGGCATATATCTCCTGCAGAACAGTTCAATATTTTTCCTAAAAATACAAATGAATGCACCCAGAAATGTGAACAAATGGATTATATTGAAAAATTGAAAGCTCAAAAGTACCTTAGAATGCTCCCTCAGATCATGAACATACTTATCCTGCTTCAGACACCATATCTGCACCAAGACTTTCTCTTAATTGAAACATAAAAGAGGAAAAGAATAAACACTTAACACATAAAGCCGCAGCAACAGAAAAAAAAAGGGGGGGGGGGGGGGACTAAAAAACAACAGAAACAAAGATACAATATTCCAGAAAGCTGGCATATCGTTTCAAAATTAAAATTTTTAAGAAAGAAAAAAAAAAAGACAAAATGCAATCAAACAAAAATGTATATTTAATGCAATGAAGAATGTCTGTTAAGTAATGATAAAAAGATAGTGTATAAAACCTTTGCAGTAATATCATCAGAACAAGAGGCCAATAATAAACCAGTCGGATCCCATTTGACACAATTCACTTCACCCTGAAATGTACAAAGTTCAAATATGTGAATAGAAGAGCAGAGACACATTTCAATTCAAAAGTTTCACTTATCAAAAGCCAAATCAAAACATGGTTTTCAGTTGCTAATTAAAGCCCATGGCTGGCAAGTTACAGAAGCCATAAGGCTTTGTTTCATTGTTGTAAAATTTTCCTACTAAATTGATTCTCAGGAAAAAAAAAAAAAAGAGAAAGGAATATGGAAATGAAAATTCTTTTTTATTCTTGAAACAGTTTTCTTTACAGGAAAAGCTTGAATAAAAGCTTTAAATCCTAGCACTTTACCAGAAACCAGATTCAGAAAACAAAATTTATAAAACAGAAAGGAAGACAAAGAAAAGAAGTAAGAGGCGAGGTACGGAGAGATGAATTTAAGGGGGAAACTACCAAGGTGTATAACTATAAACATACATTTCATATAACCAACAATTATGAGATGCATTGAAGAGTATAATAGTTCAAGCATACAAGACCTTGATCTCAGACCTAACTGTTATCAAGTCTTTTCTGTTATCAAATGCAGGCAACAAAGTTTAAAATAGAAACCAAAGAAAAAAGAAAGGGTAGGGGAAGAGAGATGATTTTGAGGGAGACATTACAGGCAGTTGTAGACATGCATTTCATACAGCAGACGACCATGAGATGCATCAAGATTAGTTATCATATGAAGCATAAAAGAGACGGACCAGGGTTTGGCTTTCCTGGTCAGTTTGAATCTTATTTAGTTCTAACAGTTAGTCCACTCTTTTGAATAAAACTAAAAGAATCACCTAAGAAAATTATGAGATTGTAGGACCACAGAGACCAGAAACAAACCTTATGCCCCGCAAAGGTTTTAATAGGGTGGATTTCTCCAATCTTGCAAACATATATCATATGGTCTGTGGAGCTTGTTGCAAATGAAACATTGTTGCACCAATCAACATCAAGGGTTGGACCTAAAAGGTAAAAATGATGAAACTCTGGATAAATGAATATTGGTTATGTAACTAAAAGCCAAATCTTAAAGTTTAGTCCAATGGCCCACCTGTGTGAAAATCAAACTGCTGTTTCCATTCCTCAGCCTTGACATCCCACACAATTGCCGTTTTATCACAGCTTCCCGTAAGAAGATAATCACCCTTCTTGTTCCACTTCAGAGAAAATATAGGTCCTTTGTGCTTACTCAAGGTAGTCCTTAGTTCACCTAAACCAAGAAATAATTGTGTGTGTGTGTGTGTGTGTGAGAGAGAGAGAGAGAGAGAGGTGTAAAATTCTCACAATCAGTCAAAAGCATATAACAATGTAATTCTAAAAGCTAAAAGAGTAACAAATTCAATTAAAAACATAAACAAACCTCTTATTTTGATTGGGTAACCAGAAAATAATTTAATAAAAGAAAACCTTATGAACACCAAGAAGAGAAACACATGGGAAAATTGAGTTGGTATGAACACCAACTCAAAGGCTGCTTTCAAAAAATAGATTTTGTGGCCTTTAATTGCAGGATATAGAATGGCATAAAAAAAAACCCACAATGACTTACCATTTGTAGTCCAAATTCTCGCTTGGCCATCATATGAACCTGTTGCAAGCAATGTCCCCTCACCCTGAATAAATGTCAGCAAAAAGAATGATATTTTTTCCATATCAAAAAGAATGACAACCAAAGAGGCAAGCAGCTAAAGTACCATTTATCTCATTTCCAATTAAGTTCACTTATTGCACAAGAACAATTAAAAAGACAATTTAGACAGCAATGTAAGAATGACAACCAAATAAACAAGCAGCTAAAGTTCCATTCATAGCATTTCCGATTAAGTTCAATTAATGCACAAGAATAACTAAACCTACAAATTTAGACAACAACGATGGCTTTTTACAAAAACAGAAAGCCATTGCAGAGCAAAAGCATTAGCATTAAATTGCAGTCTTTATGAACCAAACATCCATTAGACAACACAATGGTACAATTATATGGGTCAACGTCCCATCTGCTTGAACAAACTAAACCATCTAAGGATGATATCACCACCACCTTTGCTCCATCAGCACCTGAATGTGCAAAAAATGACTGCCACCTCAAATCCATTGCTCCAAGAGCTAATTTTCTTATACAATCACAATGGCTGAACTAATCAGGTTCATCATATGATCTCGAGAAAAATAGATCTGGTCAAGTTTAACCGAAGAAGATTACTCCCACTTCAACCTAATTCCCGCAGCTAGGTATTTTTGGAAACCTAAAGCAAGAAGTGCACCATAAAAAATGTGCCTACAGCTTATTCTTTTTTGCGTCTTCTATGTGATATCGCTGGTCATTTTCTTTTTATTACAGTCAAGGTGACTAGTTTTCCTGCATAGTTATAGCAGTATAACAAAGAATGTTATATACAATTGCAAAGCATTACATCAAATTAAGGGAATGAGAAAAAAAGAAGTGTTGGACTCAGTAGGTGATCTGTACTAAAAGGAAACAAAAGTTTGTAGGCAACTTAAGCCCACAACAGTAACAGAACTCACATTCCAATCGAGTGTTGTCACATCTTTGCTCTTCTCATTGGTTCTTCCTTTTACATGCTTCAGCACTAGAACATTTAATGGACTGTTTTGTGCACCAGATTTGCAAAGCCCATTAGCTATTGTCCAAATACGAGCTGTTGAATCTCCAGACCTAGAAATTGAGGCAATGAGAGTTAAGTGCAAGTGATCTAATGAATCGGAGAAACTTTGTGAGTGCATAAACTGATTAGTGACACTCCACTATCATGACATCCAACAAAAGATTAAAACACAAAGCTACAAACGTATCAATAGAATACTTAGATGACATGAAAATCAACAGAAAACAACAAGAGGAACCGAGTCATATATAACAGAACTTTTAGCATAGAGCAACAAGATCTCAGTAATTTTTTTGAAAGATCTCAATTAATGTCAACGACAGTGTAAATAAACATCTGTGCTAGATAAGGAGAACTTCAACTCTCCAGTCCTACAACAGTACAAAAACCAATATACGTGACCACAGATCATATGGTCACACAACTGAAGAGTGAACAAATTGCACTTTTGTTCACAGACCACTTACCCAATGGGCAGGACTGTTCAAAATGGTTTTACTACCAGCAAGGCTTAATTTTTATCATTCAAATGATTAGAACTTATAAAATTGAGCATAAAACTAAGACACACTGGAAATGTATAAAGAATGTGGAAAAAAGTACACATCTAAAAGACCAAATCATCAACATAAATGTCATAACGTATAGATCTGTGGATCTACCACTAAACATGGATTAAAAGAGTCGCCACCAATATTTTTTTTGTTTAAGTGTGATTGGTCACCTGATTGAATCTATCATATTTAAACAGGAATCCCAAGATTGACAGATATCTTTAAATAGTAGATTTTAGTCTACAAAACCAGATTTCAGATTCAGGAGTGCGGTTACGTATGAAGAAAGTTATAGCACACTCACAGCGCCTATCCAATGGATGGTATCAGTTTGATTTCAAATTATCCAAGCCTTAAAATATTCTTATAATTTTACCAAATTGTTTAATTATTGGAAACTAATCCTAAATTGGCTTCAATAGTTTGCTAACAATTTAAGATAATTTACTCACCTCAGGAATATTCATGGAGACTAATATCCCAATCTAAATAAGCTCCATCGTCGGGTTTATTAATATATTTTTATTAAAAAAAATAGTAAAATCCTCCAATAATTTGATAAGATTTAATTGGATGCAGATCTCCCAATAGTGTAGTGAGATTTTATTGTAAAATATTTATAAGATTTTATTTTTGAGAAAACTCATTAAATCTTCTAATAGTTTGATAAGATTTAGTTTAAGATACAATCCTCCAATAGTTTGGTAGGATAAGAATGCAAAATATTTTATTGATTACCTGATTTATGAAATTCTCCAATAGTTTGGTAGAATTCATAAAAATTTAAATGCATACAGAAATCTCTAACAGTTTGGTAAGATTCATGAATTTATTTGAAAAAATAGTTTTCTTTTTTTTAGGTTGTTTTTCATAAATAAAATAATAAAAAAGAATTTTACAAAAGTATTTAAAGAATAATAAATTACTCAATTTAAAATTAGTAAGATAATAATGATAAATAAAATAAAAATAAAATAAGAAAAAAGCTTAAAAATGAAAATTGCAAAAAATAAAATAAAAAATAAAATGAAAAGAAAAAAAAGAAAATCTATGATTGGGTCGGGTTGCTTCAGGTGGTGTGCGAATCCTAAACGGGTTCACGCAGATCCTAGGCTGGACAAATGACACCATATTGGGGTACCATAAAAAGACAAAAACTTGGTTTTTCCTCACACCGCCCTACCCCTTTCTCTCTCCACCTGATTTTGCTCTGGCTTTTCTCTAAAAATAACCTAGACTTAGTCGTCGAAAACTGAGCAACCTACCGATTTCTAGAAAGTGTGGCCAAAATCTGGCCAAAAATTCAAAACTCACCAAAAAGTTCAACTCGAAAATTCAAACATTCAAATAAAAACCCAATTTTTTTCCAGATTTCCCAGATTTTTTTTTCAGAAATTCAACTCCAAACCCAGAAATTCAAACCTAAACTCAGAAATTCAAACCTAAACCCAGAACTTCAAACTCTCAATCCCAAAACTTCAAACCTAAAACCAAGAAATTCAAACCACTCTCAATCGCCAGAAACTTTAAATCCAGAAACTTCAAATCTAGAGAGGTCTCCCCAAAGAAAAACTCTACCTTTCTTTTTGATCCTTTGTTCAATTTATAGCCTGCTTTAGTACTAATTTTAAGAGTTGAGCAGAACCAATTCAGGTTTGAATCCTAAGATTCTGTCCAACGTGATTTAGGCCTAGGTTCTGCAAGTCTGCCTGATTTGATTCTGAATTGAAATCCCTTTGATTATGCAGATTTGATTTCCTTGTTTCAACACAAATTAAGAAAAAAAAGGAAAGAAAAAAATAATAATAATAAACATCAGTTGACCTAGACAAAGATGGGTGTCTACAATAAGAAATATTTCATCACAGAAAATACAGACCCTGATGCAAGAAGTGAACCAGTTGGACTCCATGCACATGCACAAACCTGCAAAAATAAATGCTCAGAGAGAGAGAGAGAGAGAGAGAGTAAAGAATAAAGAATGCATGTCTTAGCCCATCTAGGAGTATAAGAAGATTTTAAAAAGGCTCAAACCTCAGAAGTGTGCCCTTCCAAAACTGTAACATCAGAATTAGGAATTTCACAAGCCTCCTGAGTTGCTAGGGTCGATGTAGTAGCAATATCCATAGGTTCTGGACCTACTAAATTGAACAATGCAATATAAACGAAAATGAACGACCAGAAACACTGGTTAAGAGAGCTATTTGGCAATTTTATATGAAGGCAAATTTCATGTGAGTTGTCAAATATTCAATCAATGAAAATGTCAAGGCTAATACAAAGAAACTGATATCAAACCAGGAAGAAATATAGCAAAGGAATTAACTAACCTACAGAAATTCCATTTTCTTCACGCTTGACAGCATCCTTGTCTTCTTGATCCACAACCATATCTCTATCAGCAAGTTCCTCTGGTTGCTTTTCTCGTTCCTTATTGATTTCAGCCTTCTCCGTTTCCTTTTCACGTTCCTTCTCCCTTTCCTTCTCCCTTTCGTGTCTTTCTTTCTCTCTTACTCGTCCACGCTCTCCTTCATGCTCCTGGTCAGCCTCTTTATCTTTATCTTTATCTTCATCTTCATCTTCATCTTCATCTTTATCTTTATCTTTATCTTTATCTTTATCTTTATCTTTATCTTTACCTTTATCTTTATCTTTGTCTCTATCCTTTTGGATATTCTTCCTTTTCTCTTTTATCATTTGCCGCAATTGATTTACATCCTTCGTTATTATATCCAAAGGTTGCAAGAATGAGAAATCTTCATCCATTTCTACATCATTCTGCAAACTCAAACAAACCATGATGAAAATATACTCTTAGGTATCACCATGCTCCCACAACCCCCCAAAAGATTAATAACAATAAGCATGCTAACATTACTCAAGTTGGCTTCCATCTCCAAGTACTGAAGTCCTTTTTGAACAAATGTAATAAGAGCCCCAGGAGGAATCAAATTCCCATCAATGGTACACTTATTAATGCCTGCCTCATATCCTAAAGTAAATGCTGAATGCATAAAACCTGCAGGCATTTGATCAGCAGAAGATAAGATCCATTGGACATTATTTACAAGAACCATTCAGTTGAAGATTGAAAAACTATAATGTAGAGCCAATGAATCCTCCACCTTTTTTTTTTCTATATAAGCACCACTGTATAAACAAAAAGCAGAAACTAAAATAACCTAAAAATGTTTCTTAGTTCATTTAGACTACGTTTGGTAGGAAGGATGGAAAATGGAAGGAAGAGAAAGAGGAGAGTAAGGAACGTTGGTTTTCCTTCTTGTTTTTGGTATGAAGGATGGATAATAGAGGGAATGAAATAGGTTAGGAAAAACTTGTAAACAAATAATTCAAGTTAAATGAGTTTTTTTTCTCCCACTTTTAGGATGATTGGATTTGGAAGGAGCAGAAAGCACAAACCCATCCATTTTTCTTCTCTCCTATTTTCCTCCTACCAAAGGGATTAAAGGAAGAACTATTTTCCTTCAACACGATTATCTTCTTTCCTCTAATCCTACCAAATAAATTGTTAATAAACAAAATCTGAGTAGTAACTGTAAATTTTCAAGTCAATACTATTGACTATGAAAAACGATAACCTTGGGATGCCTGTCTCAAACAGTGCAATGATATTCAAATAAAATAACTAATATTTCAGAAAACGATGGTTCACATAGGGATTCTCATCTAAAAATATCTCGTGCCCTAGCCTGCGGCATTGCATCACGCTGGTAAAATCTATGAGATTACAAACCCTAACCGGAATAATAGTCAATATCAGGCATCCATTTCCACGATCTAGAGCACATTATAATGCCAGAAATTAATCTCAAAATTTACAGTTCACATGCTCCAATTAATTTTTTTCTCCTTTCTTTTCTTTTATATTAAACGAACAATAAAATAACAGAATAAATTTCAAGTTACTAATTGCAAATACAGCGACACAAAAGGAATTCCACCGGATGTAGAATTAAAACGAAACAAAAACAAAGAAAAAAAGTTTCAAAATAGAGATCGCAGTAATGAGAGATAAAAATTAAAGAAAATTTTGAACTGACCTGACTCTTGAAGGTAACGAAAGACGAGGTAATTCAATTCAACGGAGGTGATAGAGGTCATAGTTACGAAAGTCGCTTAATCCAACGGCTGTGATAGAAGCTCAGACTATCATTAGGTACGCAACCGCAAAGCCAGAGAGTGAAGGAGAGACTGAGAAGCCTTTTGTTTTGCAGAAGGCGAGAGGCTTTGGACCTTCAAGAAAAGAGGTAGAGAAGCAGATGATCACTATTTTCTATCTTTTTCATCTTCTTTTTTTAGAATTTTTATTTATTTTGCTTTATTAAAAGTTTTTTTTTTTTTTTTAAGTAATTGCGCAATAATCCCGCAACTGGATCTGGATGGTCATGCGTAACTGTTTAGGCCTAAAGAGATCGGTTCAGTTTAAGGAGTCAGTTAATAAATTTGGGCTAGTTCATAACTGTTAGAAATTAAAAACAGAGGAAAAGCTCAAAGATGAGGTATATTAATTATCAATTAACTAATCTAACCCAAAGGCAAAAGACAAATTCAAGTAAGAAATACTTTTTAAGATAATACATAAAATGTGTTTGGTGTAAAAAATTATAATAAAATTATATATATTATGAATAAAATTAAATTAAATAATATTATTATATTATTTATTTGCTGTATGTAAAAATTATGATAAAATAATTTTATTTATCGATTAAAATTATTTTTTAAAAAATTTATATAATTTAAATTATTAATATAATTTTTAATGATAAAATATGGTTGTAAATTTAATTTTATAAATTAAAAATAATTATTTTTACTTTAAGAAGATTGAATTATTTTATGCCAAGATGATAATTAATTATTATTACAATCTTATTTATTTTTTAGATACAAATTAAAATATGATAAAAGATAATTATTATCTTATTTTATCCATGATTTTTGAATTCATGAACTAGATGGGAAAACAACATCTTTCTTTTATTGTATATCATCTTCATAAATAAAAGAAATATTAAAAACATAAAATTTGAAGTTTTGAGATTTCTAATCTTTATTAAGAAAATATAAGATAGGAATGATACCCTCCCTCTGCACTAATTGGGAAATATCTGACTTTTGTTCTTAATTGTTTCAATTTTTTTCTGGTATGGTTGATGAAATTTTATGAGTGTTAAATTTTAAATAAAATACTTGAAGATGAAATAGAGCAATACAAAAAAAAATATAATTAGGAGTTTTGTCCGTTTCAGTTCAATTCATTTAAATGATAATATATTTATGTTTGGTTTGTATTCGGTTTGATTAAAATAAATAATTTCGTTTGTGAACGTTAAATAAACATATATAAAATGAATATATTCATAAATAATAAATAAAATATAATCAAACAAATTTAAACAAATACATCTTAATACAAACAAATTTATATGAATATAAACGAATTTTAAAATAAAATTAAAATAAAATTTTTTATTATTATTATAAAAATAATATACGAACTTTAAATGAATTTATTTATGAACATAAATGAATCAAATAAATATTTATTTGTGTATGATTTATTTAATAAATGAATATAAAAATATTATTTAAAATTATTTGTAAAACTTAATAAATAAATATAAATGAACAAAAAATGAATATGTTCACAATGATTTATCAATCGATTACACCCTAAATAAGTGGTTTGAATTCATACCAGAAAAAAATATTATCATATTTCAAGCTGCAAGAAATACAACCACCTCAAAATATACCATTACCAGTAAAGCTGATACTACATTATTTGTTTCAATTATTTACAAAAAGAAATAAGAATGATTCCTTAACCTTCCATATCCAATTTTAAATGTTAATCGCTCGAAATTTATTTATGGGGTAGTTGGATTCATGGATCAGCATTTCGTGGATCATAGCCTTTAGCCCCTTCCGTCAACGTGGACCATGCATCCATTGTTGGATTGTTACGAGACAGGGACTTGTACAGTTTAATATTTGATCCTCTGGTCAACTTCCTGTTCCTGAAGATTGGCAAACTCAGAGAACAACCAGAACTCAACAGAGAAGAAAGTCTTCAAACATGGAAGCAGTCATGCTGCTATATTCATCTTTGTTCATTCCCTTCCTCGTATTGGTTTTCAAGCTTTTGTTAGGGACCAACTCCAAGAACCTTCCACCAAGCCTGTTTGCGATTCCATTTCTGGGGCATCTCCATCTCCTAAAGAAGCCCCTCCATCGAACACTCCACAATCTCTCACAAAAATACGGCCCTGTCTTCTGTCTTAGGTTTGGTTCACAACTTATGCTTGTCGTATCATCTCCCTCGGCTGTCGAGGAAGGTTTTTCCAAAAATGATATAATTTTTGCAAACCGCCCTCGCTTTACCATAAACAAGTACACGGGCTACAATTGTACCACCCTTGCTACATCATCCTATGGCGATCACTGGCGCAACCTTTGTCGCATAATCAAGCTTGAGGTGCTATCATCTGATCGATTAAACATGTCAACAGGCATTCGAAAGGATGAAATCAAAATTCTACTACGCAAGTTATATCATATTTCAGGATATGAGTTCAGCAAAATAGATTTAAGACCAATGTTTACAGAGCTGACATTTAATGTCACAATGAGGATGATTACAGGGAAACGACATTGTGGTGAAGAAGCGGCTGGAACCGAACAAGCCAAGCAATTTGGGGAACTTATAGAAGAAGTTTTTTCTTATGCAGGTGTGTCATATGCAGGGGACTTTCTGCCTCTTTTCAAGTATTTTGATAGGCAAGGATATGTAAAGAAGGTCATGAAGTTTGGTCAGAAGTTAGATCTGTTCTTTCAAGGTTTGATTGATTAGCATAGAAGGAACAGGAGAGATTCAGAATGTGGAAACACTATGATCGACCATTTGCTTTCCTTGCAAGAATCACAGGAGAGATTCAGAATGTGGAAACTCGATCACCACTTTTCAAGAATCAACTGAATGCTATACAGATGTAATCATAAGGCTGCATTGGTTAGTTTCATTTTCATTGCATTTGATCTTGGTATTTACTTAATAGGCATTTTTAGTATTTACTAATGAATTATCATAAAGATGTTAAAACTAGTTTTTACTATGAATCACTAATTAGTTAATGTATGAGGTATAAGCCTGTGGTCATAATGGCAGTAAAATGGAATTGGCAATGTCTAATTTCCTTAATCATCTGGTTTTGAAGAAGGTTAGAGCTGAGTTAGATGCTTTTCTTGGCTATAAACAATTATTAGATGAGACTGATCTTCCCAAACTCCAGTACCAGCAAAATACTATTGTCGAGAACCTCCGATTATACCCGACAACCCCTGTCATAACTCCTCATATGTCCTCTGATTGTTGTACAGTAGGAGGATACAGTATACCACCTAAAACTATTTTGCTGGTCAATGCATGGGCTATTCATAGGGACAATAAATTATGGGATGATCCAACATGTTTCAATCCTGAAAGATTTGATACCGCCGAGGTCAATGCCTATAAGCTTTTGCCATTTGGTTTGGGAAGGAGGGCATTCCCTGGGATGGGCTTGGCCAACCGCATCATTGGCTTGACTTTGGGGTCGTTGATTCAATGTTTCGAGTGGGAGAGAATCAATGAGAAGCCTATCAACATGGTTGAAGGAACAGGTGGCTTAGCCATGCCTCAGAATGAGCCACTGGAAGCCTTATGCAAAGTTCGTTCAGTGATGGATAATGTACTCATTCAAGCTGTGCTCTAAACTGACTGCTAATACCAGTGTTCCTTTTTTCATAAATCTAGCAATTTTGTACACTTGTTATATCAATTTCATATCTAACATTGATAAAATACAAAAATTATCAAGTCAAAATTCATATAAATACATAAAACACAAAATAATTTTTTATTTTTATCAAATCCATATATAATTTTTGTTAAAACTTTAAACTACAATTGATTTCATGTTTTTTTATCGTTTGTATGCAATATTTTTGTTGTAACTCAGATTGTAGCTATTGCATGACTACTACGGCCCTTTTGGCAATTGATTAAACGAGGGTTTAATCCCAATCCTCATGCCCTGACCGTTTAACACCTCCTTTTCTTTCTTCTTGAAAGAAAAAAAAAAATCATTTCACTTTTGATGAAAGTAGAACATAGAAATGTGGTGGGTTATTCCCATAACAAGTTCACTATTACAACAATAAGAACATGCACTTCGATTGGTAATTAAAAGGCTACTAATCAAATTGTGCAGCACTTCAGCTTAAAACTCAAAATAAACAAGTTTCCTGAAATCCTAAAACAAGTTTCACGCACGATTTATCGAAAATTTTATTCATTTACACCTTAAATGCATGATTTAAACGTGATGACTTACATTCACATCAGAAAAACTCAAATGGCTATATTGTCATATTTCAAGCTGCAAGAAATACAACCACCCAAAAAATATCATTACTATTTAAGCTGATTCTAAATTATTTGTTTCTATTGTTTACAAAAAGTAATCAGAATGATTCCTTACTGTTCCAATTTTAAATATTAATCGCTCGAAATTTATTTATAGGGTGGTTGGATTTATCGGTCAGCATTTTGTGGATCAAAGCCCTTACGTCAACGTGGACCCTACATCCATTGTTGGATTGTTTCGAGACAGGGACTTGTACGGGTTTAATATTTGATCCTAGGGTCAACTTCTTGTTCCTGGACGATTGGTAAATCTCATAGGACAATCAGAACTGAACGGAGAAGAAAATCTCCAAACATGGAAGAAATCATGCTGCTATATTCATCTTTGTTCGTTCTCTTCCTCGTATTGGTTTTCAAGCTTTTGTTAGGGACCAACTCCAAGAACCTCCCACCAAGCCCGTTTGCTCTTACATTTCTGGGTCATCTCAATCTCTGCATACGAACACTCCACAATCTCTCACACAAAAATAATGGGATAAAATAATTTCAAACAGTATTCAAAGTCACGCAATGATAAAATTAAATTATTTTTTTTGTGTGAATTTAGTAAAAATCAAACAAATAAAATTAACAAATAAATCATTAAATCACAAATACAATAACACAAGTAATTTATGTGAAAAAAATTTTTAAAATGAGAAGTAAAAACTACAGATAATAACAAATAATTTTTATTATCAAAATAATAAGAATACAAAAATTTTTTTAATTAGAATTAAAAGTGTACAACTATAATATCTCAAAATTAAATAATTAACCAAAATAATATTACAAGAAAAAATTAAAAAAATCTCAATAAATTTAAAGATTAATAAATACTTACAAAATCTATAAATAAAAAACTTAAAATTTGATCTCGATCATTTAGATTAAAAAATAATGAGTCATAAATATATTGATAAAATTTTAATTCAATCGAATAATGAATTGATTTCGATGATCGAAACTATACAAAATTCTTTTTATTTTATTTTATCATCACAGTCTTTTATTTCTTTTTCAATCATATAAAAATTTAAAACTCTATAATCAAACATAAAATATTAAAAAAAATTTTGGTTAATGAGCTTTAGTTTTAGGCCGGACGAAACTAAGCCCAACAAAAAATGCGGCCCTGTCTTCTGTCTCAGGTTTGGTTCACAACTTACGCTTGTCGTATCATCTCCCTCACCATAAACAAGTGCATGGCCTACAATTGTACCACCCTTGCTACATCATCCTATGGCGACCACTGGCGCAAACTTCGCCGCATATTCACGCTTGAGGTGCTATCATCTAATCAATTAAACATGTCAACAGGAATTCGGAAAGATGAAATCAAAATTCTACTACGCAAGTTATATCATATTTCAGGATATGAGTTCAGCAAAATAGATTTAAGACCATTGTTTTCAGGGCTGACATTTAATATCACGAGGATGATTTCAGGGAAAGGATATTACGGTGAAGAAGTGGCTGGTACCGAACAAGCGAAGCAATTTGGGGAACTTATAGAAGAAGTTTTCTCTTATGCAGGTGTGTCGTATGCAGGGGAATTTTTGCCTATTTTTCAAGTATTTTGATAGGCAGGGTTATGTAAAGAAGGTCAAGAAGCTTGGTCAAAAGTTAGATATGTTCTTTCAAGGTTTGCTTGACTAGCATAGAAGGAGCAGGAGAGATTCAGAAAGTGGAAACTCTATGATCGACCATTTGCTTTCCTTGCAAGAATCACAGCCCGAATGCTATACAGATGAAACTATTAAAGGCCTTGCATTGGTTAGTTTTCATTTTTCAATGCATTTGATCTTGGTATTTACTTATATGCATGTACTTTTTTCTGTTTTTCACATGAATTATCCTAGATTGCTGTTTTAAACTAAGATTTTTACTATGATTCAACTCTTATATGCAGAGTATAGTAACAGCAGGAAGTCATACATCTGCAATAACAATGGAATGGGCAATGTCTAATTTGCTTAATCATCCTGATGTTTTGAAGAAGGTTGGAGCCGAGTTAGATGCTTTTCTTGGCTCTAGACAATTATTAGATGAGACTGATCTTCCCAAACTACAGTACCTGGAAAATACTATTGCCGAGACCCTCCGATTATAACCGGCAACCCCGGTCATAACTCCTCATATGTCCTCTGGTTATTGTACAGTAGGAGGATACCGTATACCTCCTAAAACTATTTTGCTGGTCAATGCATGGGCTAGGGACAACAAATCATGGGATGATCCAACATGTTTCATTCCTGAAAGATTTGATACTGCCGAGGTCAATGCCTCTAAGCTTTTGCCATTTGGCTTGGGGAGGATGGCATGCTCTGCATGGGCTTGGCCAACCGCTTCATTGGCTTGACTTTGGGGTCATTGATTCAATGTTTCGATTGGGAGAGAACCAATGAGGAGCCTAGTAACATGGTTAAAGGAACAGGTGGTTTAGCCATGCCTCAGAGTGAGCCACTGGAAGCCTTATGCAAAGCTCGTTCAATGATGGATAATGTTCTCATTCAAGCTGTGCTATAAACGTATTGCTAACACCAGTGTTCCTTTTTTCGTAAATCTAGCAATTGTTGTATAGGTGTCATATCAGTTTCACATTCAACATTTATAAAATATAAAAGTTCTCGTATCACATGAATACATCAAACATGAAATATATATATATATATATATATAGATTTTATCAAACCTATATTAATTTTGTTAATATTTTAAACTATATTTAGTTTCACGTGTTTTATTTTTATCAGTTTTGTATTATATTTTTGTTGTTTACTCAGATGGTAGCTATTGCAGGACTGCTAGAGCCCTTTCGGCAATTGATTAAACCAGGGTTTAAGCGTTATCGACATGCCCTGACCGTTTAACACCTCCTTCTTCTCTCTTTCTTCTTAAAAAAAAAAAATCATTTCACTTTTGATGAGAGCAGAACATAGAAATGTGATTGGCCATTCCCATAACAAGTTCACTGTTACAACAATAAGAACCTGCACTTCAATTGGTAAATAAAAAGCTTATAATCATCTTGTTCAGCATTTCAGCTTAAAACTCAAAATAAACAAGTTTCCTAAAATTCTTGCTGCTGATCAAATAAATTTAACCATTGGAGAAAAGAAATTTGGTTCATAGGCTGCTCTGTTTCATTGGGGAGTTTCAATATTACACCTTTCTGGACCACCCTTCATGCATCGCGTGGTAGCACATGCAAATATTACAAGAATGGAAACTTTAAAAAGAGAATTCTTCGGTCCATGTCCGGAAGACAGCAAAAATATATCAATAGATTCGGGCTTTGTAAAAAAATTTTGTGGATTTCTCACTTATAGTTCTGGTTTTTCATTCAAGTTTAGAGTTATTCCTGATTCCTTTCACCCACTTAGGCCTTTATTCCACCAAAGATGTGCTTGAGGTTGATACATACAAACTGCCAAACTGGTTTCTGATAAATCACGATATTGTGGCTAAAGACAAGAATAATTTGGGTGGGAATCAAGTCCATTTCCATTTCCAAAAATTCTAATGAGAGCCCATATGAGAGAAAGCGCACAGTCCTGAAAAGATTTTCAGAAAGCAGGCTTCAAATACAATTGCAGGGGATTGATTAATTAGTTGGCCCAGGTATAAGCATTTCAATGCCATTAAATGTTGATGATTTTACCTTCCTATTATTCAATTAATAAACTAGCTTATCTTTGCAACAACTGGAGGGCAAAGAACAATGCAGAATATGAATAAGTACTTTAATTTAATTATTTATTTTACATCAATGTTTTAACCACTCCGCCAAACTATCCTTATCCAATTTCTCTGTTCCAGGACTACAACAATGTTAATTTAAGCAAAGTTGGTACATCTGTGTAGATCTAACAACCCTCACTCCGATTGGGCTTGGAAGAAACAAAGACCTAATCACACAAGAAAACTGGCTTGAGATCATTGAACAGAACAATACAAATTCTGATGACCCTTTTCATTCTTCTCATTGACAAAAAAAGCCTACATGAACACCTGATCTTCATCAGCTTTAGGAATCCAGTCATTTGTTGCTGGGTTGCTTTTGAAAGTTAGCCCCTTGATTACATTTCCAGCACCCTGTCCATTTTCCATCTGAATATGACATTCATTCCTTCACCTCCTTCTCTTACCACTCTTATAAACCCACTTCCTGTCTGTCATCAATAAACAAAACAAAATAAAACACCAATGCAAATTCAATAAAAACTAAAGCACAAGATAATTCACAGTTCAGACAAAACAACACTACTGTCAGAAAATAATAGGTCAAGAATAAGAACCGTGTGATGCTCTTTGTCAATAGAATCCAGCTCCCTGTACTATTGTGTCTCCACAAATTCATCTTGCACCACAGTATTTCCTCCCACCGAAATCTTCACCTACGAAAGCAAATTACAGAACTGAAAAAGGGACCCAAAAAAATAAGGGTAAAGAGTCTAGAGCTTGAAAGACAAAGATGATAGGACCACGCTAAAAAATGCATGCTTGAGATTGAGATTGAAGTGATCGTAACATGATAAGCTCGGGTATGTTTTTGTCTACAGCTGGAGAGAGGGTGTTTGCTGCTAAATCACTATCAGGTTCACTCCTGTTGGGCTTGGTGGGTCGTTTTGGGGCCAAGGAATCGAACTGAGCTCTGACCTGATTGGCGATTTGTTGCTGTTGATCTGCCTCCAAAACTTCATCACTCCGGCTTGGCTTAGTCACCATCCATTGACCCACCATCTTGGCCTTGATTTTTAGCCTTGTATTTTGTTTCTTTCTAGTTGCCATTGATGGTATCCTCGTTTTATATATGGAGAAGAGACGGAGAATGCCAACTCTTGGTGGTGGAGTGGGTCGGCAGCCTATTGTATATGTATTATATAATGAAGATTAACATCGAAACTATGGGCCATAAGATACCGCTTATTTTTCAGCCGTAAATCTTTCGGTTTGAGCATCTATCAAATCCCAATTTTCACGGGTTCAAAAATGATAACGTGGGATGCTTGAGCTGTTCTGGGCTACCTCAGATGCTGGCTCAGATTGTCTGCTTGGAGCCTTGGACCCCAATCACCCAAATACTCTATTTCTGCCGTTGATCAATTGAGCATGGGATCGAAAGGGAGTACCATAAGTCAAAGACTGGAAGAGAAGTATCTAACATTTAAATTATTTGATATAATTCATCACAATCTAACTAGCTGTGATGTCATATTTTTCCTCTTTTAGCTAGCTTATTTGTTGTATCATCCTTTTTCCTTCAATAATTTGAAGATTACCATGAAATAACAGTAGCAAAATGCCAGTGATTTAAAGAATTCTTGCTTACTCTTAGCCCTAGAAAATCAATCATCTGCTGAACTTCACCAAAATGATGTTTGGCTTTAGTAAATTCCATCAAAATTGTGTCCACATGCCAGGTATTGGACTTGTGGGATTTAGCCATTCCACCAAAGAAGTGATTTGAAGCCGGTTCATACAAATTGATGTCCAATAAGTCATGCTATTGCAGCTGAAGAATATTTGTTGTGAAACAGAGAGAACACTCTTGCATATTACCTTTTTCTCAGTAAAAGTTTTTGTTCGGGATCATCATAACTTTGATATTACTTGTTGAGTCAAATAGCTAATATCCAATCACATTAACAAAAACGAAATCAAATAATCAAATAATCAAATAATCACATAAGAGACAATAATTTAACATGATTTTATCTAATCGATTTACATCTACGAATGAGAAACAAATTTTATTAGTTGTAGAGAATTACAAACATACAAATTATATCAACCTCACTCAACAATCAATACTCATAAGATCTTCTTAATCTCTTCTAATCTTATAGAGTATTTTCAACTCAAATAAACATATACCTTTGTGCACCCATGCGTCATACTTATGTGGACTCTATCAATTTCCTCTAGTCCACTCACATGCATAATAACTATGTGGATCTTCATTCTTTTTTAGTGCACTCAAATATACACACCCATAAATATGTTAATCTCTTGTAGTCATATAAGATATCTATCCTATAAAATCTTACAACTTTCTTATATTTTTTTCCCATACCTAATCCGATAGAAACTTCACCTATTTATGTATATAAACTTACCTATTAAGAATCTTTTTTCTCTTAGAAATCTTTTTCTACAAATTAAACTTGTATATAAAAATATCTTTTTTCTTAGAATTCTTATTCTGTAAGTCTTCTTGTTCATTAGACAATAACTAATCAATCTCAAATAAATCTCTTATGGGATTTGAATTACTATTCTCAATAATCTTCACATTAACTCAAATTTTATTAAATCATCTATCTTCATTTTAGATATGCTTAGCTCTATCTGTAATAGAAGTCTCATTGTCATATTTTTTTATGTGTCTTCAAGGTTTACACAAACCTATCAATCAAAGCATGAACTCGAACTCCTCATTTAAATCGAGCTCTTTTAAATTTATCTTTTTTCAAAGCTCAAATCATATTCTGATATCAATTGCTGGAGATCACTACAACTCTGATATTACTTATTAGTTCAAATAGCCCTTATCTAATCACACCAACGGAAGCGAAATCAAATAATTAAAAAATCACACAAGAGATAACAATTTAACTTGAGTCGATCCAATTAACTTATAGTCTACGAATGAGAAATAAGATCCATTAGTTGTACATAATTACAAACATATAAATCATATCAACCTTACTCAACAATCAATATTCGTAAGACCCTCTTAATCTCCTCTAATTTTATGGAGTATTCTCAATCCAAATAAATACAAACTATTGTACACCAATGCACTATACTTACGTGGACCCTCTCAATCTCCTCTAATTCACTCACATGCATCATATCTATGTGGATATTCTCAACTCTTCTATAGGGTGTCTATTCCATAAAACCTTACAACTCTCTTATATCTTCTTTTCTCATATCTAGTCCTATTAAAATTTCACCTATTTATAAACTCTCATCTCTTTCTTTTTAGAATTTTTCTTTTGTAAGTCAAACTTACATATTAAAAATATCTTTTCTCTTAAAATTTTTTTTACAAATCTTTTTATCCATCAAATAATATTTAATCAATCTTAAATAAATCTTTTTATGGAATTTGAATAACTATTTTCAATAATTTTGAAAAATTAGCTTCTTAGAATGCTAAAAGGGTTTCAAGCAAAATTATGAACTCTATCATAAATTTGGCCAAATTAGCTGATGGAGGTTGGTACAAATAACTAAAATTTAGGTTCTTGATGCAAAATATTCAAATTCCAATTCTATGATCTTCTGATAGATAATTTGTAAATTTGAAAAATCTCATAAAATTTTATAAATTTCTCTTATAAGTGACGGTTTGTTTTAACATTGAAGATTAGATAACCGTAACTTTCTTTACCCCTAAACTTTTATCTACCAAAAAAATTTTTGCCAAATTATATTTCAATTTCTATCGATGATTTTATCTTTCCCGGCATTCAGTTTAATCTATCATTGCAACAGCTTAATATAGAAGAATAATGCAGAATGCTTAGATTTATTAATATGGAAGTCATTTTCACGATGTAAAACTTCCCACCAAACCCATTCATATCTTACTATTTCACTGTTCTACCAACCATAAAATTTATAAAAAGACTCGAGTACAGAATAGACAAGAAAATTACTATCTTATATCCATCCCTATTTGATCAAATGTAAAGCCAAACAGAATCAATCAAAGAAAAAGAACCAAAGAGAAAAGCCGACCATCTGGTGCTGTTTGTGAATAGAATCCAAAAACAGTCCAACTCATCTTTTATCCTTTTACATATCTCCCTTCCTCAACCAAAATATTTAACTTAGATTATATTCACGTAAACAAGAAAAGATGAAAGAAATGGTAAATAATTTAATTCTTGAGACACAGATTTCATTTCCAATGGGTTTCAACCTAGTTTCCACTTCCTGGAAGGGTTATAAGTTGGGGGCTGAAGCTTTTTGGGACCTCTCGGTCAGCCCATATTTTGGGTTACCCTGCTTGGACTTAAGCTGGATGCTACTAATCTTCGAATGCCGATTTTGGAGTACTACGGATGAAGACACACAAAGAAAATAGAAAAAAATCATTAGTTAAAAGAGACCGGAAAACAATCTACCGCGTCATTAATAAAGAAATTCATCTATCAACCTCTAATTGTTGTTGGAGCAAGAAAAGTCAGACATGTTGGTTCTTGGACAAAGGGGAAAGCAAATAGGAGTAAATGCGGTGATCAGAAATGACATGTGAACAAATAGATATTTCCTTTGGAAACTATTCTGCTTGGCAACATCAGAGGAGCTGAATTATTTTTCTTTTAAGCAGAATGCATCCGAACGACTTAAAGATCAGGTCAACCAAAGCAGAATTCATTAAAACTGGTCCTTGGGGCTCAGATACAAGGGAAAAAGAGGGATAAGAGAAAGAGGAAGACAGTTTGAGCCAGTTTCAATGGAAAAGCTTCTCTGCTTTAACTTACTCTTGCCTTTGTTTCTTCTCCAGTTCTATACTGTTCCAATTCTCTCAGCACCTTATATTTTTCCAGATAAATACTTCATCAACTGCGGGTCAGATTCTCCTGTGACAGTACGCAGCAGGACGTTTGTTGGTGACAAGAATCCCAACTCCTTCTCTGTTGGAAATAGCAAACCTGTCACAGACAGCCAGTCAGCAGGCGCATCTCTCTACCAAACAGCAAGGTTTTCTACAAGCCCATTTTCGTATGATTTCGATATCACTAACAATGGTCTATATGTGGTACGCCTTCATTTTTTTCCTTTCATGTCGGACCAGGGTAATCTAGCGGATGCTTTATTCAATGTTTCAGCTTCATATAAGTCTCTGGTATCCAATCTCAGTCTCAGAAATAGTAGTTCTTTCCCTGTGATTAAGGATTTCTTGGTGCCTATCAATTCATCCAGCTTTAGAATTCACTTCATCCCTGCAAATCAAACATCTTTTGCTTTTGTGAACGCTATTGAAGTTTTTCTTGTTCCAAATCTTAATGATAACCGAACTCATGTGACTTCGGCAGGAAGTATGGGTCCTTACCAAGGTTTGCCCTCTCAGGTACTTAGAACAGTTCAGAGAGTTATTGTTGGGGGTCAATCCTTTACTGACGCAACAGCAGTGGCACCGGAATGGGTAGCTGATGATGACTATATGGTAATTGGAAATTTGGCAGAAAACTGTAGCTATCTGCAGAATGGTAGGCTAAACTATGATGACAGTATAGATAATGAAAACTTTAGTGCAGCCTCTCAAAACTTTGTCCCAGATCGTGTCTATAGGACTTGCAAAAAAGTAACTCTAAATAATGGACAGGCATCAAATTCTACGAACATTACTTGGCATTTCAATGTCAGTAAGAATGCGCAGCACCTTGTTCGGGTCCATTTCTGTGATATTATTAGTGACTCACCGAACGTAGTCAATTTCAGTCTCTTTATATACGGTAAGTTCAGTCAAAATATCAATCCTTACGAGTATACCGTTAACACAGCAGTTCCATTCTACTATGATTTTGTGGTTGACTCGGGTGGTTCTGACTTTATTAGTATTAGTGTTGTCCCTTGGGATGGATCCATCTCTAAATTTGCTTACCTGAATGGAGTCGAGATCATGGAGTTCATCACAGAACCAGGCTTGGAACTAGGGATAAGTGAGCCAAAAAGGAAGCCTCTACTGTTTATCATAATTGGTTCAGTCATTGGGTTTCTTGTCATCTGTAGTTTGATAGTGGTATTCTTGTGGTTTAAGAAACGCAGAAAAACAGATCCTTTTGAACCCTGGGCTTCATATGGTACCCTTCCTTTTGGAGGAGCAAGCCCTTATATTGGACTAAGCAGAAAATCTATCAATCCCCCTCCTGTTCCAAACCTTAAATTAAAGATGCCTTTTGCTGAAATAATAGAGGCAACCAATAACTTCGAGGCTAAGTTGTTGATTGGGGAAGGAGGCTTTGGTAAAGTGTATAAGGGAACTCTACGAAATGGTCTCAAAGTGGCAGTCAAACGAAGCGAGTCAAAACATGGCCAGGGCTTTCCAGAATTCCAAACCGAGGTCATGGTTCTATCCAAGATTCGTCATCGCCATCTTGTTTCCCTAATTGGCTATTGTGATGAAGGGTCTGAAATGATACTGGTTTATGAGTTCATGGAGAAGGGGACTCTCAGAGATCATCTTTACAGCTTGCATGGGGATCCGGAGAGATCATCTCCATTATCTTTATTGACTTGGAAGCAAAGACTTGAGATTTGTATTGGTGCTGCAAAGGGTCTTCATTACCTCCACACCGGTTCAGATGGAGGAATCATTCACCGTGATGTTAAGTCCACAAACATCTTGCTTGATGAAGAATATGTGGCAAAAGTGGCGGATTTTGGCCTTTCCAAATCAGGTGATCTTGATCCAGATGAGTTCAGCACAGACATAAAAGGGAGCTTCGGTTATCTTGATCCCGAGTATCTTAGATGCCTTCAGTTAACAGAAAAATCTGATGTTTATTCTTTTGGTGTGGTACTCCTTGAAGTGCTTTGTGCTAGGCCGGCTATCATCTACTCACACAGGCAGGAGGAGAAAAATTTAGCTGAGTGGGGGCTGTTTTGGTTAAGGAAAGGGGAACTTGAAAAGATTATTGATCCTTCAGTGGCTGACCAGATTAATCCTAATTCATTGAGAAAATTCAGTGAAATAGTTGAGAAATGTCTGAAACCAACTGGAGCCAACAGGCCTACAATGCTTGATATCTGCTGGGACTTGGAATACACATTGCAGCTACAGCAAACTGCAGTCCGCAGAGAGCCTTACGAGGACAGTGCCATAGATGCTTCTCTGAACTTTTCATCACGACCTTTTCAGCGTTTGCCTTCGAATAACTTACCAATTGAGAAAGATGATGCGCCTATGGAAAAAGCTGATGGTTCTGACACAACAGCTAGTGGCGTTTTCTCCCAGCTGAGGATTGATGATGGCAGATAGTCTCAACTGGCTGGTAATCTGTCTTTTTACTTACTACTCCATCACTATATTGGTGTTGAATGCACTTTTGTTGTCTAAAAAACTGTGAAAACTAAGTAACTCTGACCCCTTTATAATTCAAGTGGTTTCGAATAAACTCAGAACAAAAAAATGAAAGCTTTTATTTTTTTTGAATCTCAAGAAAATTTGTTTTGAATTATCAATAAAGATTCTTTGAATTAAAACTTCATTCACCTACACAAAGATGGTTGAAATGTTTTCTTCTGCTTATCACACATCTATATTAATGCAGCCATACATGAAACAAGTCACTTTATGTGGTCTGAGTTCTGGAGTATCCCAGTGGCATTAACCATGGAATAGAACTGCAGGAAGCTATCTTTTTTTTTCTCTTTTTTTTTTTTTTTAAACTTTATTTGTTGTACCAATCTGATTTCCTTCAATGGACAAAATTTGTAATTTAGGCATGTATTTTGTAACATAGACAACTTCCAATGAACCATGGCAGATTAAAATGTTTGGTACATAAATTCATATAGCTGTCATTCACCTTTTAATTCCCTAATAATTTCCCGTACACAGATTTTAGAATCCAGGGAGGAAATGCAGAGGAATGATCAATGTTAGTGTCAATACCATGGTCCATGAAAGACAAGCGTTTGCATACTTATTTTCGTGAGACAAAGAGAACAACACCATGGGCTTTGGAATTGCAGCATGCAAGCCCGATAGTGTTTCTCTAAAAGCACGATTTTGTTGGCAAAGCCCAAACGCACTTAAATTTGGAGACTACAAACGTCAAATTGATTCTACTGTAGAAAAATTATGTAGACAAAGTTTGCCAATGACCGATTGATTCTTAAGAAAAGAGGAATTGATTCTTAAGAAAAGAGGAAGCAACATGGTGCTTTCAACTGTAAAAGCAAGCAACTTCTAAGAAACTGGCTTTTGCAAATCCCTTATTTCCAAACAACTAAAGTATCTGCGGTCAATTGTCTATTTATGGGGTCTATTTCACCTGGGAATAAAGTTAAGAAATGAAAGGGTTGGGGCCTAACTTATTCTTATCCTTGGTTCTAAGCTTTTTCAGGGTATTTATATAATTTTACGTGTCTAACAAAAGGCAATTCAAGTCAACCACAAGTCTTTTTTTTAAAGATGAGAAAAAGCTCTATTATTTCTTTGCCGTGGCAATGCGTGTTTATCACTAACTTTAATTCACCTAACCAGGATTATCTAATACTTCCCCTCACTGTAGAAGTACCAACAACTGGCAGTTTCTGCGGAAATGCTCCACTCTTTCACGGTTCTGCTCTTACTTCTCCTGCTACTCCTTTTCTGTTCACTCTTTCTTCTCCCACCAGCTGAAGCTGTTGATGATACTTACACTCTTCCTGATGAGCACTTCATTAACTGTGGATCAAAGTCTAGTGTCACCTTTGGAATCAGGAGCTTCACAGGAGATCCCTTCTATGGAAAAGGAAGCAAACCTGTCCAAGACCCTAAACCTTCAGGTGATACACCAGTGCTATATCAAACAGCAAGAATATTCAGACGCCCTTCCCCTTATAAGCTTGAAATGAGGCAAAATGGCACGTACGTGGTACGTCTTCATTTCTTTGCTTTCTCATCTTCTGTCAGCTTAGCGGATGCTGTGTTTAATGTCTCAGCCCAACTTAATGCCTCAGCTCCATTGCTTTTACTATTGTCGAATTTTACCATGAAAAATAGCAATGAATCAACAGTGGTTAAGGAATTCTTGCTTACAATTGGAGCTGGTAAATTCTTGCTCTACTTCATACCTTCTCAAATATCATGTTTGGCTTTTGTAAATGCCATTGAAGTCTTTCTTGCCCCTAATGGCTTCGTCCCTGATTACGCCACACACATAAATTTGTCTGGGATTAAAGGCAATTATAGTGGTTTACTTTCCAATGTTTTGCAAAAAGCTTATAGAATCAATGTTGGAGGTCCCAACATCACGGAAGAGACGGATACACTTATGAGGTTTTGGATATCAGATGACCAATTTTTGCTCTTCCCAGTATTTACTGAAAACAGACAAACCACCTATGATGAATTAAAATTTGTACAACGTGGAGCTAATGGTTCAACTAAGTATATTGCCCCAGAGTCTGTCTATGGGACTGCCAAAGAATTGAATTCAACTAATAGCAGCAAGAAGTTTTCGAATATTACTTGGCGTTTTAAAGTCGATGAGCATTCTAAGCACTTTGTTCGGGCGCATTTCTGTGATTTTATTACCCCCTCACTTAATTATCCTGGGCTCAATTTCTGTATCAATGGAAATTTTTGTCAGTTGATCAGTCCATACGAGACAATTAATCAGCTGTCAGCTCCATTTTATGCTGATTTTGTTGTTGATTCCGGTAAATCTGGAAATATTGACATTAGTGTTGCCCCTCCTAAAGATGAAAGATATCAAATTGCCTTTTTGAATGGCCTTGAGATTATGCAGCTAATGGAAAATTCATATTCGTCTTTTGTGCCACTGCGACCCGAGCCCAAGAAGAAAATTTTGTTCATTATTGCCGGTTCACTTGGTCTGGCTTTTGCATTCATTATAATGGCGGTCGTGATGATTCGTCTAGTTCGCAAGAAAGAAGATGCGGTTGAAATTCCACGTTTGCCATCTTCTTTGGCTTTTCCTGGATGGAGTGAAAATGACATGTCAACTGCTAGAACTGTTGGTCTTGGTTTGGACCTTGAATTAAGGATACCCTTTGCTGAAATACTGCAAGCAACACAAGATTTTGACTCAAAACTTTTCATTGGTGAGGGTGGATTTGGGAAAGTATATGTTGGAACTCTTCATGGTAAGAAAGTCGCTGTTAAACGAAGGGAACCAGGATACAAGCAGGGTCTTGCGGAATTCCAGACAGAGATAATGGTACTTTCCCGAACTCGCCATCGTAACCTTGTTTCCTTGATCGGATACTGTGATGAAAGGTCTGAAATGATATTGGTTTATGAATTCATGGAAAAGGGAAATCTTAGAGATAATCTATATGACACAAATGGCTGTTCTAAACCAAATGGATTGTCATGGGAGAAAAGACTTGAGATCTGCATTGGCTCAGCAACAGCCCTCCATCACCTGCACACAGGTTCAGCTGTGAAAATTATTCACCGTGATGTTAAGTCAACAAACATCTTGCTAGATGAAAATTACACAGCTAAAGTATCTGATTTCGGTATTTCAAAATCAAGTCATTCTGATCTAACCCTGGATAATACAATTGTAAAAGGTAGTGTTGGTTATTTGGATCCAGAATATTTTATGTCTGTAGAGTTGACAGAAAAATCTGATGTGTACTCTTTTGGAGTGGTACTTTTAGAAGTTCTCTGTGCTAGACCTGCTGTTATCAACTCACCTCAGAAGGAGGAGGTGAACCTAGCAGATTGGGGTTTGTTTTGGCTAAAGAAAGGGCAGCTTGAAAAAATTATTGATCCTTCCCTAGTGGATAAAATAAACCCTAATTCGTTTAGAAAATTTGGTGAAATAGTTGGGAAGTGTTTGGAGGCAAAGGGTAGTAATAGGCCAACGATGCATAATGTGCTATGGGACTTAGAATATGCATTGAGCCTACATACTGGAATAAACAGAGAAGACGCCGGTGAAAGCACCACAAATATTTCATTGCAGTTTGGGCTGCCCGTGCTTCTCCATTTACCAACCAGTAGCTTTCCAGTTGAAGAAAATGAACAGTCCATAGTAGGCAACAATGGTTCAGATACATCTGCTAGTGAAATATTCTCCCAGTTGAAGTTTGCTGGCCCTAGATAATCTCCATTAATTCAAGGTACCAAATATGATCATAATTTCAGCAGTTTCTGATATCTGTTAATGATTTATTGTTTTTATTAGCAACGGGTGAAAAATGGAGAAACTTAAATTTCTTCCCCCTTCCCTCAATACCCTTAATTGTGAAGAGAAGTGTATTAATCAGCTGTGGATTAATGTTCTTAAAAATTGGTAAACTTAAGCAGGTCAGATTTATCAAATTTGTTGAAGAATAAATGTTGTTATTTCTATTCTTTTGTTACTAGGATCTGTTCTTTGGCAGGAAGATTTCATTTCTGTCAACTTTGCTGTAATAGTATGGCTAACTAATACAAGGGCTTTACCAGGGAAGGAAGATCACTCATATCATGTCAACATTTAATATCTGCTATCAACCTGACGGGCCAAGACATCAGGATGTTATATGAACTCCAGCAAATCAATAAAACTGAATCGAGGGCTGACTCAAAACAAATTACAGCCCCGGGTTCAACTTCTGCTAAATGATGGGTGGTGTGGTGGATTATGTCTGAAGTGCTTGTAAAATAATAATCCAAGATATTCTGAAGTAAATGTATATCTATTTATGTTTTTTTCCAGTTAGAATAATTAGTCTTCTAACTTGTTGCTCCATGCATGAGTTTTAGAAGACCCTCTAGCCAATGGTAAACTACGACCTCAGTAATTACAGAGTACCAGAGTTGCTAAATAGCTGAAGGCACATGATTTGAGCAATGAATCACTAATAATTCTTGTTTACTTCCAATCACTCAGAGGAACTTGCAGAATATCATGACTTTTGCATCCTAAGTTCTCTCCCAAAAAATTTGACAAATTCACGAGATCTTCAAAATCAATCATCATATAACGGTAAGTCTGTAACATGTCAAATTCAGAAATATTAATGAGATTTAACATGCCAGAAACTATATGCTGGCAGTTAAAGATCACCTTCAAGCCATGTCCAACTAACATATCTGTGACACAGATTATACGAAACTGGCTTTCCAAAATTCCAATGTGATTTCTTGAATAAAATGATTTTTATTTTTTCACTAACATCAAGTTGACTTGATATTGCACACAGTTAATTAATTGTTAACTGAATTATAGAATCTTGGCTTCTGATTAGTGGAAGGGTTAAGCACTTGAACTGCCATAGGACTTGCAGATGAATTTTATTTCTCTTCACCACTGATTTTAGATAATCATGGGCACAGTTTGTTATTGCTGGTTTTCATGATATGAGACAGCTTTGGGCCAATATGAGACAGCTTGGTCATAAACCAATGAATCATTTCTAATCCCTACACTAAATGATCAAACCTATTGAACCTTTCCACATAAAGAAAATGTCATTTGCAGATGAATTTTCCTTCCTTTTTTTCTTTTAATATCATCAATTGTAAACGCTCTAAATTATATTTAAAAAACCAATTTTGCTAGTTACTGATAAACTCTCTACAAAAATTGGACATAACTTCCAAGAAATTATTGAAATTAAATTATCTCATTCCTTTCTAAAGTTGTGTCATGATTTTCATTTGAAGTTATTAATTTCATTGCTTGACTTCTTCTCCAATCAACTCTTTTCAAAAAAGCATATCTTTTTCTCACCATCAACAGCGAGTGAATTGCTGGGAAGGATCCGATTGTCCATGAACGAAATCACGTTGGTTCTTTTCCACATGAGGGACGGAGGGATTGGGTTTATATGTTGCTTCTTTATTAAAGTGACCCAGAAAAAGACTATCTTACTTTATAGACCCCCAATAATTCATCTACAGGCTCTCAAATCTTTTTTTAATCTGTAACACGGAAATTGCAATACTTTCCAGTTTCCACACCAAAAAGCAAAGGGAAAAAGAAAAACTCGTAAATTTTTTAATGAGCTCTGCATCACATGGAGACGGACACGAGTCAATGAAGAAAAAGAAAATAAAATGTTACTCCACTATTAAAAATTCTTTAATGGCACCTACTTTGCACGTTGCTATTTCTTTGTTTCTTCATCTGATTTAAATCTAGCCAATGCTATAATCAATTTTGGCAATTATCAAAATTTAATGTCAAGAATAATAGTAGTTTACCTGTCATCAAGGAATTTTTGGTCACAATCTACGTGGGAAGATTTAGAATCGACTGAAGGATCACATCTAGCTTTTGTAAATAAGTCTTTTTGCCCCTGAAAGTTTCATCCCAGCTGTGCTTGTTCAGGTACCCCAGCAGGAAGTAAAAATAATTTCGATGGTTTGCCCTCTACAGGTTTAATGCTGGAGGGTTTACCCTCACACCAGAAAATGATACATGGAGGAACTGGGGACCAGATGATAGATTCTTTTTTAATCCAAAAGCTGCTAAGAACAGTTAATTTTTCACTGATACACCTAAATACCAACTAGGTGGAGCATCAGAATATTGCCACGAAGTCTATAGTAGGTAATTGAATTTTTCAATATAACTTGGAGTTCTAATGTAAGAGTTTTAATCACTTTGTTAGGGTGCACTTTTGTCGCGAGGAACAATCCGTACAAGTAATATTAGTCAACGATATGTTATTTATAATTAAACTGAAAATTTTAAGTGTATTATCATAAATTTTTCTTTAGGTAGAGAATATGATATATTATTAGGTATTTTTCATATAAAGCGAATATAAAAATATTTTAGTTTTCAAAAATCATATCTCTTTTAGACAGATAGGTATTTTAGATCGATATACCTTCAACTATGATATTTCATAGCCATTCAAAATTACCAAATACAATAACCTATTTTGGGAAAGCGATTATATAAGATAATTTGAAAATACTTTTATTCTTGCACATAAGAAAATCTTATAAGTTTTAATAAATAAGTTATTTTGACAACCAAACACTCACGTTAATTAATTGTATATTTTCACATCGAGAAACTTAAATTGTTCATTACTATAGTTTTACATACTTAACTAAGTACATACATTTTAATCATTTCTTACACGATACTTAATCATAATGTATCTCCTTAGATCATTAAAAATTGATTTTTTTGCGTAAAACACTAATAATTAATACGTATCTTGATGGATCATTATACGTATGATATTTTCTTGTAAGATACTTAAATCAGATGTATCTCACTAGATCAAAAAGTAATTTATTACATTCAAACCATGTGCTTTGAATTTTATGGATAATTTAATATTTTCATTCAATACTTAATTCTTTTTGTATCATGTACCAAAAATAAAGATTTCACAAATCAACAATAATACATTATGTCAATATAGACCAAGGAAAAAATAAATTAGGACAACAATTTTATACTCCACTTATTTCAAATAAATATTATTTAATATTATCTAATTATAAAAAAATACCAATAAAATAATAGTGAAGCCAAAACCTCATGAAGTTTAAATTCAAATTGCCTTACTAATCCATGTTGCATTCAAACAAAAGTCCAAAAATTAGTAAAATAAAATTTACTTAATTTATTCAATTATGCACGTAACTTTAGGTTAAGAGTACGCAAAATTTAAATATCATATATGGAGAGTAGTACCTTCAATAAACTTCAAATATGCCAAAATATTTTATTATAAAATAAAATAACAAAATTCATGTGCATAATTATTTAATCATACATAAATATAATAATTAATATGTATCTCGATGGATCATTATAGGTATGATCTTTTCTTAAGATATACTTAAACCAAATGTGTCTCACTGAATCAAAAAGTAATTTATTGCATTCAAACCAAGTGTCTTGAATTTTATGGATGATTTAATATTTTCATTCAATACTTAATTCTTTTTGCATCATGTACCAAAAATAAAAATTTTATAAATCAACAATGATACATTAAAAAATAAATCAAGGCAACAATTTTAAACTCAACTTATTTCAAATAAATATTATTTAATATTATATAATTATGAAAAAATACCAATAAAATATTAATGGTACCAAAACCTAGTGAAGTTTAAATCCAAATTGTTTTAACAATCCATGTTACATTCAAACAAAAGTCCAAAAATTAGTAAAATAAAATTTAATTAATTTATTCATTATGCACATAACTTCAAGTTGAGAGTACATAAAATTTAAATATCATACAGGGAGAATACATACCTTCAATAAACTCCAAGCATGCCAAAATATTATATTATAAAATAAAATAACAGAATTCATGTGCACAAAAATAATAATTATTTAATCATGCATATATATTGTATAATAAATATTTTATGCCATTTAAAATTTTATAAAAATAATAAATATATACAGCATAAAATTTTGAAATTAAAAGAACAAACAACATTAAAAACAGATGCAAAATGAGTTCAAACGAGTCAATTTTTTTATTCTGGCATTATATATTGACTCAGTACTATTTACCGAGTCAGCATTGTTATGACTCATCACTGTTAATCTCCTAGTTTCAACCAAGTTGACCCTACTTGACTAGATCAAATTTGACCCGGTTTAGGTTTATTTAAATTTTTAAACCAATTTTTTTTCTTTTTGTAATTAAACCTTTAAACATATAATTAACATATGGATTTACAAAACCTATGCCACAATATGCATAAAAAACACATAAATCACCATGAATTTAAGAACAAAATTTTCTTGTTTATAGCCATTCTTGACCCATTTTTATTACTTGATTTTTTTTTAGATTTTTCATATTTTCCTTGAGTTTTAATGCAATTAAATGCTCTAAAATTTACTTAACACATATATTTACATTTAGGCTAAGAGTACACAATTAAACTAGATATGTCTCATTAGATCAAAAAGTAATTTGTTACATTCAAACCAAGTGTCATGGATTTTATAAATAATTGAATATTTTCATTCGATACTTAATTCTTATGTATCATGAACCAAAAATAAAGATTTCATAAATCAAGAAAAAAATCAAAGAAACAATTTTAAACTCCAATTATTTTAAATAAATATTATTTAGTATTATCTAATTATGGAAAAAAACAATAAAATAATAGCAGCTCCAAAATCTTATGGAGTTTAAATCCAATTTGTCTTAAGAATCAACGTTGCATTCAAACAAAAATCCAAAATTTAGTAAAATAAATTTTACTTAATTTATTCAATTACGTACATAACTTCAAGTTAAGTGTATTTAAAATTTAATTTTATATAGGGAGAGTACGTACCTTCAATAGACTTCAAGCGTACCAAAATATTTTATTATAAAATAATAGAATTCATGTGTATAAAATATAATAATAATTTAATCATGCATAAATATTATATAATAAATATTTTATCTTTTAAAACTTTCATAAAAATAATAAATAAATGTGGCATTAAATTTTGAAACTAACAGAATAAGCGGTGTTGAAAATGGACACGAAATAAGTCCAAACATGTCGATTTTTTATTCTGATACTATTCACTAACTAGTATTATTCATCGAATTAGCATTGTCATGATTAGCACTATTCATCTCCCAGCTCTAGCTGAGTTGACCCAACTTGATTGGTCAAATTTGACCTGATTTAGGTTTATTTCAAAATTTAAACCAATTTTGATGATTTCTTTTACAATTAAACCTTAAACATACAATTAATATATTGATTTACAAAACCTATGACACAATATGCATAAAAAAAACGTAAATCACAATGAATTTGAGAACAAAATTTCATGTTCATAGCTATTCTTGACCTATTTTTGTTACTTAATTTTCTTTCTAAGGTTTTTCATGCTTTCCTTGAATTTTAATACAATTAAATGCTCTAAAATTTAATTAACACATATATCTAAAAAATTCATGCTTCAAATTGCATCAAAACAAAATAACACACATAACCCATTTATAGTTTCTTCTCAATTGATCAATTAAAACCTAAATTACATGTAACTAAAACACATGTTTCAAGTTTAAAACATATGGGTAACAATATTCAATAACCAATTTTGATTAAAACACATAAAATATCAAAGTTTTAATTAAATCTTGAATTTGTTCAAATCTTGAACCCAAATGTTTAAAACCCCTATTTCTTTCTCTATAAGATGAATTAATAAACGTTCAATACATAGTTTTAATCCTCTCACAGAGGAAAATAAAAGCCTCAAATCAATTTTAGAAAAATAAAATTAGATAGTTGGATTGTGATAATCACAAAATTTGTCAAAAAAACTTATTTGATGCAAAATTATAATTTAAAATCATAAATTTGGATCCTAAGTCCAATCATATTGGTAATTAGCAACTATCATATAAGAATGCACTAGTTATATTCAGGAGAATTAGAAGACTTGGGATAAAGAAAAATACTTCACATAAGAAG